AAAAAAAAAAAAAAAAAAGACTGGGGATGTAGCTCAATGTGAAGGACCTAGATTCAATCCCTTATTAAAAAACAAAAAAACCAAAAAAAACCCACCACGCAATCGGAAGCTGCGTGATGTTTGTTCAAGTTAGATTAACATCTTCAGATGCTGGCTACCGGCTGAGGACAAGGTGACTCCCTACTGTTCCTCTTCCAGTTTAGAAACATCCCAGCTGGCAATGCTCCTGTGCTTAGAGCTTAATACAGCAATTATAAGGTATGCAGAAAGAAAGCAATACCTGAAAGGGTTGACGTGGCAGCCCGAAGCATGTAAAACCACAAGTAGGGACCCCAGGTAAGTTTTGTCTGCAACAAGAGGTCAAGTTAGCAACACACACCTAAACTCATACTATAGATTCAGGCTTGAATGGAACAGCCAAATACTTGGTAGGTGCACAGAATATTCTACAAGGCAGTACTATAACCGACTACAGTCCAATTAGAAAATGTAAATCTTTACAAAGATATTTTAAATTTCCATTCAACCTGTACCTACCACCACCTTAAGCCCATGGAAAAACCAAAAAATAGATGCAGCAATTGAAATAGAGTTGGTAATGTACAGTTTAAATCCTAGTCTGACACACATTACAGTAGGGAAATGAAGGTTTAGCTTTAGAGAAGCAGGATAAATTGAGGCATAGCAAATGAGCTCTCACTCCACACTCCCCCCACACACTTTGTTTTTGTTTTTTGTTTGTGGTACTAGGTATTGAATCCAGGGCTTCCTGTTTGCTACTGAGCTACATCCACAGCTCTATTTTATTTTGAGACAGGGTCTCACCAAATTGCCCAGGATAGATTTGAATTTGTCCTTCTGCCTCAAGCCCCACAGTAGATGGGATTACAGATGAGCTCTACCACTCCCAACTTCAATTGAGCTTTTAATGGCGAGAAAATAAAAGACAAGTATCAAGATAAATTAAGATTTTAAAAAGGCTAGAGAATATAACCCAAGACAAGTTCAGTGTGTATGTGGTAGGCCAAGACTACTAGCAGAATGGAGTCCACACTGTATGCTGCCAGCATTAATCCTTGGTCTTTCATTCCAAACAGTGCTTTGTATGGTTTCCCTCTGAATACATTTGATAATACAGGGCATGCTCCACTAAGCCAATGTTTTTGTTTATCAAAAAAAAACATACAGCCTGCAATCAAATACATTAATAACTGGTTCCAAGGAGGAAAGAGACTTGTCCATAATCTTTTTAGCTAACATATATTAATGATTATAAGGACATTAAAAAGGTAAACACTAGAATTATCTGTTAAGACTAAATAGACAGTGGTATACCAATTTCTGTGACAGCTTATCTGAAAAGACACAGAAGTAAAGTAGCTCTAACAGACTCAACCTACTGAAAGAAAATATTGCATATTAGTAATGTCCTGAATTGAAACCTGCTATATCTCAGAGCAGGCTGGATCTTTTAAATGGATACGGGTTATTTTAAGGGTGTTGTTGAAAATGCTCTTGCCTTGGTGGTTGGTTTACAGCAAATGGGAAAGTGGCAAAGTATAAGGAATAAAATCAATTTCTGTAACATAAATGATAGGGGCAAGGGGCTTTGGAGGAAGGGTACACATTTCTCAGTGGGACAATTCTGGGGTTGCTTCTAGAAATAACAACTACTAATATCCAGGTGAAGACTGCCGCCCACCCCTCCCATCAAACCTGCTCCAGAGTTGAGGAACTGGATAGAGATTCTGGAATTACATCTATCATTATCCCATACAATTATTCAGAATTAATTTGTTGGGACACTGACCTTGCTAAACTACAATGGCAGATGGCTCAGCTGGGCACAGAGATGCAAAACTGTAATCCTAGCACTCTGGGAGGCTGAGACAGGAGGATGGCAAGTTTTAAGCCCAGCCTGGGAAATTTAACATTTAGTGAGACCATGTCTCAAAAATTTTTTAAAAGGACTCAAGATATAGCTCAGTGTGCAAGCCCTGGGTTCAATCCCCAGTACTAGGCAGCGGCGGGGGTGGGATGGGGGGTTGGCTCACAAACATACACTGTAACCCTGCCACCACTTCCAGCAGCAGCACTACCAAGACTACAAGCAATACCAAGACTGGAACAAGGTCTCGGATCTATGAGGCTTTCAATTCACGGCGCTAAAAGTAAAAACAATTAATTTTGTTCTCTAAAAATTTAAGTATCCATCCTTTCCTTCCTTATCAAGACTTGATATCTTTATTTTTCTTTTTAACCTACTTTCAGACTATAAAAGTAATGTTTACTATAGAACACTTAAAAGTGGAGCAAAATATTTTAAAAATGGAGTCACCCTTTCTTCCACCATTCAGAGATAATTATTGTTAACATTTCAGTGTCTTTTCACGCTTTCACTGAAAGAGAAATGTGTGTATATGTGTGTGTACATATTTTTTTCTAGTACTGGGGACTGAACCCACAGCGTTCCCACTAAACTGTTATCTCCAGTTCTCTTTTTTCAGTTGAGCCACTGTCTTGGTAAACTGCTAAGTTGCCCAGGCTAGACCTGATCTTGTGACCCTTCTGCCTAGGCCTCCTGAGCAGCTGAGAGTAAAGATGTGCACCACTGCGCCCAGTCTGGGTATAAATGTATTTTAGAGCACTGTTGTACAATATTTTCTCTTTTCTGTTTGTCCTTCATTTACAATAACAGTGAGCAGATTTCATTATATGCTTAAATTCCTAAAGGGAGAATTAACTAGACCAAAAATGTGATCATTTAGAAAGCCCTTCACACTGCAAAACTTTATACTAGAAAGTTTACCAATGAAGATTCAGCAGCAATGTATGACAATGCCAATTTTTTTGTAGGCCGACCACAGACTGTCCTTTTAGTCTTTTAAAAAATCTTGCAGGCAAAAAATGGGCCAATAATTTTAAATTCAGACTATAGTATCTCTCACTTTACAGTTTTGCTTTTCATGGTTTTAGTTACCAGCAGTCAACACTAGTCTGAAAATATTAAATGGAAAATTTCATATTTTAGAGACCATATGAACATAACTTTACTATATAATATTGTTATAATTGTCCATACTCTTATTACTGTTGTTAATCTCTTACTGTGTTAATTTCTAAATTAAACTATCATATGCATGTATGTATAGGGAAAACAGTATACATAGGGCTCTGTGTGAACTGTGGTTTCAGGCATCCCCTGGGGTCTTGGACTGCATCTCCTACAGATAAGGTGGGACTACTCTTTATTAGAAAAGGCATTAGTCCATTTTATATATTTTTTATATTTTTAATGTATATGTGTACATAAAATTTTTAAGTAGAGATATGCATATATTGGTGGTCTGAAAATACAATGTTTTAAATTTACTATAGTAAAAGACACATTACTATTAATCCCCCTCTGAACACACTTATCCCATCATTCTTGCCACTTTCTGAAAATCTTCATTCATGAGTGTCTTTACAAGGTGTGATCAAAACTATGGTGATTGCTGCTGCTAAGTGCCACCCAATGGAAAAACAGGGTCATAAAGACATTACAGTGTGTCCTCATCTACCTTTGTCACTGGATCTGACTCTGTGTGACTTCCAGCTGTTCCCCAAAGTGAAAATGACCATGAAGGATAAACTTGGGGGGAGGGGTTAAGATAAGGTCTTGCTATAGGCAGGCCTCAAACTCACAGCAATCCTCCTGCTTCAGCCTCTGGAGTGCTGGTGTAATAGGAATTAGGACTCTATTAAGCAGTAAGAACAGTGGCCCCAAAATGGAGTCAAGAAGCCAAAACTGTAGTCTGCTAAGTCTCAACCTTCCAGGGATCTTACAAAAATATGTGCCAGGTGTCCTTTGGCTGTCTGGCACCTCCTCAGAGTATGATCAGGCAGGCCATTGGCCCAAGAGATGCATGGGCCCTGCATGGACCCATGAACACTGCATAGATTAGACCCTAAAAAGTATGTAGTCTCCTATATGGTAGAGATTATATTGCTTATACAGTGGTCCAAGCTCCCTTCTAAGTCCCTTAAAAACCCCTAGACAAAAAGCCTTGGTAGGTGTCCTACTCAGAACTCCCTCCTGGCTAGCGAGACTCTTACTTCCTTGCCTTTATATCTTTTACTTTTTTTTTCTTTTTTTTTTTTTTGCAGTACTGGGGATCGAACTCAGGACCTTGTGCTTTTGAAGCAGGCACAGTGCCACTGAGCTAAATCCCTGGCCCTATCTTTTAACTTTTTTGCATTTTATCTTTTAAATAAATTTGCTTGTACCCTACCTCCTCCATCTTGCAGCCTCATTTGTCACCATGGGACATGACCTGAGCATTCTAGTAACACTGGGATTACAGGCATGTACCACCACACATGGCTCATGAAGAGAAAACATTTTGAATCAATTCAGGACCTGGAGGCAGCCATGGCAGTGCCACTAAAAATACTCATGAATGGGGATGTCTTAGTTACTTTTCTCACTGTTGAGACAAAATACCCAACACCCAGAATTAAAGGAGGAAAAGTTTATTTGGCTTACAGTTCGTGGAGGCTTCAGTCCATAGTTGGCTGGCTCCAAGGCAGAGTGGCACAGTAGAGAGGAGAACCAGTTCATGGCAAGCAGAAGACAGCAAAAACAAGCAAGGGATGACCACAGCTCTTTCTATGCCTTATATCTTATCCAGGCTACCCACCTCTGAAAAAGCCAGACCTATGACTGCATGAGGCTTTGAGGGGACATCTAGACACAAGCCAGAACAAGGAACTTCAAGAACTGCTTCAGAAAGTGGAAAAACAAAGTGTGTTTGAAGGAGGGGGATTTTAATGGGGATTAACAGCAATAAAAATTTTAAATTTAAATACCATATTTTTCTATCACACCTCATATATATCTTTCGAGGAATTTTAAAACAAAATTTTTAAATTTTTTATTAGTACATGTTTGAAGTACATAGTGATTACACTTATGGGGCATTGGTACATGTATGTACATAACACATCTCAATTTTTTTTTTTTGGTACCAGGGATTGAACTCAGGACCTTCCGCTTGCGAGGCAGGCAGCGGAACTACTGAGCTAAATCCCTGGCCCACACATCTCAATTTTTTTAACACTTCCTCTCTACCCCCTTCTTTTGAGGAATTTTAATCAAAATTAAATCTATGGATGAGGAAATTAAAGAGGAAATATGCTTATCCTTAAGGTTCATCTAAGGTAAAATCTAAGTGAATTACTATAAGATTATAAAAAAATCTGGGTCTTCATTTCTTATTCTCTATCAGTATCCTATTCTAGGAGTACTCATCTCAAAATATCAGGGCGTTTAAAAAGTATTGGGTCTGTTTTACAAATCTACTAT